ATTTCTATCATCTCAAACAGCATTCTTCTGAGCCCACTAACAGCCCAGTTCTCCAGCTGTTACTTTGAATAGGCTCACTGAAAGCAAAAAAGGGACTGAGAGCTGGACCAGAGAGTTAAAGTTCTTACCCTGCTTGCACTGTAATGACTTTTGCCTTGAGCGGCCCAGGAGTATCCACCAAGATAGTGGATCACAGATGGTGCTATAGCATTCCATGAAGCAGGAGGTACATTTAATTTAATTTAAAACAAATCTAGAATTATTTTTGTCAGCCACATAAATTACACATCCTAGAACTGTGGGACATTTAAAAAGACCTAATTTCTTTCACAAAGTGAGGACCTCAAATCTCATACCGGTTCAGATCCACAAGATTAATACCATAAAAAACTCTTAGGTGATAATGACATTACTGCTCTTTTCAAAACGTTTTACAAGACCTGTCAGAGCAACTGTAGTTTAACACTGGAATATAAAGTGTTTTTATTAATAAGTTTTAACTCATTTTTTCCTCACTGGACACCTGCCATGCAGAAATTACATTTCTTCTACTGTTTATTAAACTTTGGTGAAACAAAGATGTATAATTTTTTTCCTTAATGAGATCTTAGCCACTTTTTACAAGGACTCTGAATCAAAACAAACATTTAACTCATCTTCTTGAGCAATTTCATTCGCTTTTGTTCCCTGCTGTGCTGGAAGCATGCTTTGTCATTGCTCTCAATCAGGTATCCCAACAGTTTCTCAGGTAGCACAGCATAATACAAATATTATAGTTACAGATCAGCTGTTCCCTGCTGCCATTCACTTCACGGTATGGATCCCTTGTCATTTACAAATCAAAATGTTTATGTACTCGATTAGAACACTTCCAAGTGAGAATAAAGGGTATTCCATTACTCCCAAGAAGACCATGGAGACATTTGTGTGTAAAGTACTGTGATAACCTTAAATTCCCTCAGTTTCATATTTCTCCATGTCTCACTGCATCAGAACATCTCTCAGTGATCTAACTTTTATTAATGGTTATGAAGCACACTACATCAGAGCTCTGTAATTCACAGGTCTTTGTCTTTTTAGCAAAAAATTGCTAAAAGATCGCAGAAAAGAGTCCCTGGAATGTTTGGCACCCACAACCATCAACACAGCAAACTGCCTCCTTTTGCTTAGCCAAAGAGCATTGGTCAAATGCCACACAGAAAATATCCTCCTATTAGCTCTACCCAAAGACGCACATTTTACCTGGGTGAAGAATCAAGAAAGAAAAAAGTAAAATGCATTGTGGAAAAAAAAACACTACAAACAATATAAGTACTGTAAGTGCAGGGCTGAACTGTGTCAAAGTACAGACAAAGAACAAGTTATTACCTGTATAAACACACATGCGCATGTGTCAGGAAAGGGAATTAGATGTATTGCCCACAGTGGTCGGAACATGAGCCATAATATCAGCCTATCTATATGATTTTGCCCCAAAGACACAGACTACCAGGCTGAGGAGCGTGCGCTCCATAGATTATCCCTAACGTACTGTCATCAGCTCCTGCTGACATTCCCAACACCACCAACCTCAGGTGTCTAAAAACTGCTCTGTCTGCTCCTGGTCCAATGCACATTCTTGGGTGATGGAACAAAGGTGCATTCTGGATTTTCATCAGCTAAGAGAGTAATTAATCTTAATTCTCGTCTCCTGAAAAATAGAACTTCTATAGCTCGAGGAAAACAAAGAGCTATCAGTTGTTCTGTAGCAAATTAATCTTAAAGGGGGAATCTTCCAAAGAAAATCAATAGCTTATAACAAGATTCTGTATTGTGTTTGAGCCCTGAGACTCAAACTAGAATCAAAGGGTACTTTCAGCATTGCAAGTTTGCTCTTGCTGTGCTTTGTTTTTAATACAATGTCATCATTTGAAAAAGTGATATTTTCACCTATGAGCAATTTTAGTTATGCATTGCTTCACCTTTCATGGAAAAATCTAGTAATATTTAATACAGACTGTAAGATTAGGGGTATTTCAGGCAACTTTAAAGAAGTTATTCTCAAAAGAAGAAATTTAATAAGGAATTATATTCTTTATCCTGCATATAATATTCTATATCTAAGACATCTTTATTCATTTGTACCTTTCTAAATTAGTCTGTTCTATATGAGAAACTTTGAAAATCATGTCTCCTTACATGGTCAATCCTTTTTAAAAAAAAGAAAAACCTAAGGAATTTAACCATGGTGCCATGGAAACAGCTTTAAAATTAATTTGGGTGCAGGGAAGAAGAATGCAACTCAAACACGGAGAAAGTGACAGGTTTCAGAGGAAAAAAAAGTCTGTCTTCATTCAGCACTGGAATCTTTGAGAAACAATAATTCATAGCAGGGCAAGGGGATCTTTTCAAACTATAATGAAGTAAGGTTTCTCAAGCACACTCTGCAAAACAGTTCATTACCAAACTGAGGTGTGATCAGCAGAGGCAGAATGGGGCAGAGGCATACAAACCTGCAGGAATGGGAAGCTCGAAATGAAAATAGGTTGAAACTGCTGGTAAAGAATGCCAAAGTTCTCAGACAAGTACTTTTACTGTAAAGACAGTGCAACATCGGGTGGAGAGGTCATTTATAGATCAGCAAAGGAAATAACTGAATTTTATTTCCATAAGTTCCATCAATAAAAATGGGAGTCTGGCACTGACTCGCGGCTTCCATGAGTGGAAGGAGAATTTGGTCCTCTACTTTTACCTGTTCCTGCACTAGATATTTTGGTTTGTTAGATAAAATAAGTTCATCTAATTCATTGTTATTCTGGGACTTTGTACAGAAGGAATTCTAGTCTAAAGCAGATTTCATCACTTATTTCCTTGATAATTCACAAGTTAGCAAGTGCCAGAATGAATAGTTGTACACAGAAAGAAAAATACGTTATTAAGACTAAAATTTTCAGTGAGTGCACAGTCCCCAGAACCATGATGGTTATCAAAATTCAGTAGTACCACAAAGTGATGACTAATGAGCCTGTAACCTCTATGTGCTGTCGAGTAAATGCGATCATTAATTCTTTACAAGACCTTTAGAAAACATACTGCATTCATCCTGCTCCCTAGCTGTCAGAATTTAGTAGATGACTTAATTGGCTTCTTTGACATTTTTACTTTTTCGTTCCATTTCAGTTTGTTTACTTGCCTTAAAAAATGCCTACTGTGTGAATTGTAAAAAGGTCAACCAATAGTTCCCAATCCAGACAGGACAAAAGTAACTGAAATTAACACAATACAGCAGTAATATTGATCCTTACCATATTTTTTTGGTCTGTGAACCATTAGCTATAGATAGTAAAGCTACGTGCCAAAGATCTTCTAATCTTACTACTGCAAATATTCTCTTTCCTTTCGGAATTTCCACTACCCCTTTTAACATCAATGTCCAAGCACTAAAACAGTATCGCTAAGGGATTTGGGGGTGGCGGGAGGACAACACTGGGAGGATTTTTATGTTAGGAAACTTTGTAAGATCTGATTCAGAGTAATTTACTTTGAAGAAGAATACATTTTGCAGTCAGGGCAGAGTGTAGGAAATAAAACTGTCCGAACACTCACAGAGTCTGGACACATTATTTATTTCTCCACTTATCATAGACTGGGGTAATAATGGTGTAAGTTACATATAAATTGGGACGCTGTTATAATTCAGATCACTACTAGTACACGTGTTTGTGAACATACATATTTGGATGGTGAAGCAAGGCTTTGTCTTTGCAACTTGATTGTGCACTGCAGATCATATAGGGAGGTCATTCTTGCAGAGAAATCCTTGCAGTTGTATTTCACTACTGAAGCACCAGACATTGCATTCATCCAAAAGACAAAATCATCAATGCAGGCACTAAAGCCCATTTCATTTTTTGGGGGGGTGGGGTTACTTTTTTCTTTACTATAAACATGGAAAGCACACCATGATGAAATTTCTTCACTGACAGCATTCGTCTTTGGCCATTTGCACAGTTAAAAAGACCACCAAACATAGATCAAGTCTAATCAAATTAGATCAATACTGATCTTGTTCATAGTGTGTAAATGCAGAAATTTAAGTGGACAGCCTTTAGATTTATGCCAGCAAATGGAATGACACCTGATTTTTAAATACAAACATCAGGCTGCTGCAATTCTGAAAATACCAGAGCAATGACCTTACTTCTCTAATTGACATCTGAAAATTAAGAAATATATCTTTAGGCTAAATAGGGCTAACCAGCCTTTCAAATTCTTAGAACTACTTAACTGCCTCACAAGTTCATTGAAGTTGTTGATCTCTTGCAAAAAAGTGAGGCTACAAATTGCAATATAAATGGTAACCGTGTCCAATACCATTATCCTAAGGTAAGACATTTACATAAGCAGGGAGAGAGATGAACTGTGCCTTCATAATTTAAAAGTTCCAGTAAATCATAAAACTAAAAAGCAGAAGGAAAGCTGTAGGAGCTAAGGAGAACCTGGTTAACAATAATACAGTAAGTAAGCCTAACTGTAGGAGCTTTTGTAACCAAGTTTGTAAAGTCTGGGGCCAATGGGTATTAGTATTTTGAATTCTGCGAGTGCTGGTTTAAACAGTTCCAAACCCCTATCCCATATGTTTCTTCAAATATTTCAACCCAACTCCTCTGTGTTTGGCTTGAGGGTGAAAAGTACAGATTACTTGATGCCCATAGCAAGTGCGGCTGCAACAGGGAAATGTCAGCCCCTACAGTGCAATTCATAACTTGATGTGAGTAAATTCACTTACTGGCAATTTAGAAGAAAACATGCTGGTGCTGTGCCAGTTGGAGCCAGATGGTGACTGAAATTATTAAAATCATGTGTGTTGCAAACCTCTGAAAAATTGCACTGTTACAAGGTATCCTAAACATAGATGGGATCCTAATCCAAACCAATTGGTGTATAGAGAGTATTTGCAAACACTGTACAGTATGATTTTCTACCATTTAATTGTAATCTTTCCTATCTCTGTTTTCTAGGTTCAACTAATCCATTATAACCATGAGCTGTACACAAATGTCACAGAAGCTGCCAAGAGTCCTAATGGGTTGGTGGTAGTTTCCATATTTATGAAAGTAAGTATTCAGTGCTATCAATACCTGATATATAGACAAGAGACTTCTTTTCCCATGAGCTGCAAATCTAGGAATTAGACTCCTCATTATACTGTAGCAATCTAGAGGCTCTGATCTGGAATCCAGAGACAGTGTTATCCTAGGAACTGAACACACAATCTCTACCCCAAAGTATTTACAATGTAATGTAAGAAAAATGAAAAGGGATGGCGGGGCAGGAAATCCTTATATCACAAACATCACTCGTAACACTTTAATGGCTATGACAAAAGTTACTGATTTTGCAGATTTGGTATTTCTTCATGAAATGTTATTCACTCAGTTAAAAGTAAATCTGTCCTAGTAGGTGGAGACCCTGGAAAAGAGGGCATGTTTGCTCTTTGGACACATGCTAATGTTTCAAAGTCAGCAAATTAAGGTTTACCCACAGTGTTACTTAAAACATCTTAAACTATCAAAACTGAAACAACATTAAAAGTATAACTCTTTATATCTTCCATTTCACAGAGCTAGAAAGACATGTGAATATTTTGTCATATTTTAGTCTCCATCCTGTTGCATTCAAGATGCATAGTTACCATCTATAAATTACAGGGATCTAGCATTGAACTCAAGACTTAACAGTTTACTCAAACCTCCCTAATTACACTGGAGACACCTTTTCTCTCACTTTCTGTGAAGAATGCACTTCTTCCAGAAGTGTTGTTACTTTCTGCCATGATGTATCTCTGTTTCATCAGTCTAAAAAAGCATGTGTTTCTGAGTAAGTGCTTCATGCTGAAATAAACAGCTTTCATCATCAGAACTTACGTATTGGGTATCTATTAATTCCCTCTAGTACTCTCTAATCCCATTTCATAAGGTAAAGTTCCTGACAAAGCATTAACCTCAGAATTAAAATATGCATTTCACAGAGCATAGTGAATAATTAGATGAGAATATTGCCCTTTCATATAAGTATAACGTTTAAGAAAGATATTTAGGTTACCTTTTTTCATCGAAAATGACCCAGTGGTCTGACTTGAATAATCAACAATGATATTGTTTTTAAAGTACATACACCCTACATCCCCCCAAAAACCACAACACAACAGCAATGCTTCTAAGCCCTCTGTCATTTTTCCTCTAAATCCTCTTCAGGTATGCTCATATTAATGTAGGCTGAACATTTTATGTGTATGTATACATACTTGGGAGACCATATGGGTGAAATTTAGGCATTTCATACCTGTATGTAAAACAAAGGGAAGGCAGATTTTATTTGCAATCTAAATAGTCTGCTGCAAGGAAAATATATTTCTCAATAAATAGAAAAATAATAGAATACTATATGAAAATCCTGCCTAGTTACATTAACCACCTGCAAACAAAATAAAAGCTGTTAGAGGAAAAGAAACTGGTTTTGCATTTGTATTCAGACATTAATTTCTATTAATCTTGTTCTCTCATCCCCGTTTTTTTAGATTTCTTTTTAGATACCAACTTTCTAACAAGTTTTGTTAGAAAAATATCCAAGTAACTATTTCCTCTTCCCACAACAGTGAAAAAAAGACAGAAACTATTTGGAGGGGTGGCAGGAGGGAGGAAATGAGTGTGTGTGTGCATGTGTGTGTACACACAAAACAGCTACATTTCCAGAAAGGAAGTGTCTGTGAAAAGATTTTTGACATTGCGTATTTTCTCTTCTGTAGGTATCTGAATCATCAAATCCGTTTCTAAATCGTATGCTTAACAGAGACACCATAACGAGAATAACGTATAAAAGTAAGTTTCTTTTTTTGTTTACTATGTCTACAGCTGCATGCTTTTAGTATCAAATAACATATTTAGTGATCCACTGAAACAAGAGGCACTTCATTATGGGCAAAAATTACCAAGTTTGCATTGCCAGCAACTCCATATGATAAACTTGGGAACGTGAAAAATCTAGAAAGGTCATCAGTTTATCAAATGAATTTTGAACTTCAAAGGCTATTTTATGTTTGAACAAGTAATAAATTAATGAAATTATACTTAACACATACATATACTGTATTCACACAGACTACTTGGGAGAAACTGCCTACTGCTAGCAATAAAAGTAACATGCGGAGCAGCCTGGATTATATCAAATCAAGTTATGTCAAGATGCTGCATCATTAACTGTGGATTTAGTATTCATTAATGCTTTCTCTTTGTACAGAAAAGTTATGGCATTTCTATTCAACTATTGTTGCAATTAATGGCTATATAAAGAGGTCATTAAAATAGCATGTACATTTGCTGTATTCACATTTGGAAAGCCTTTAACTGATAATGCTCAATAATTCCATGTTAGTATATTGAACTTGTGGAAAACTGGAGCTTAAATGTCAGTGAAAATTAGGCTAGTTTAGAGAAAGTAATGAAAAATACATATATCTCAATGGAACGAATTAAAGCTCTTCTCCTGAAAACCTTATTCCCTTTGTCAAATATTCACTTGAATTCTAAGCAGCCATTAAGTTAATAAAATAAGTTAAACTATACCAGAATTTAACTTTCAGAAAGTACACAGCAGACTGGAAAAAATGAAGAAAGTATTGTAAAACTCAGCCTTTGTTTATTATTCTGTAAACAATGACTTAACATTTTTCATAACTTCATTGATTTTGCTTTTGTTTATGAAAGCTGGGAGAGAGCTGTTCATGATAACGGGAATGAGAATGGTTGTCGGGACTCCAGGATTTGGTTTACAATTCTACTAGGGTTCGCCTCAGTTTACCTCTCTGTAAATTAAATATATTGTACTATATACTCCACAGCAACATACTGTTACTTGAAAAACTTCGCATCTTAAACTCCAGAGATCTTATATGTCCATTTAACTTCAACGAAAGTCACTGAACTTCAGGTTTATGATGGAAAGGTTTGGAAAGATTTCTATACGCATCCCTGAAGTACACAGTCTGATTTCTTCCCATGGACTCCATCTTTTCCCCCTCCCTTCAGTGTCAGGATTGTAAAAAGAAAAAGCGTAGATTTGAGACCAACATAAAGTGAATTTTACACTGAACAGAATTTTACCCACCAATTCCTGAACAAGAGAGCACTAGAAAGATTTTGTGTCTTGCCATACAACATAGAATTTGAATAACAGAGCAAATCCAACCCCATTCTGAAGTAGATAGTTCCTTGTCCTCTCCTATAACACACACCCTTCTTCCCACTGATGTTTCTCTAATTTTACCTTACAGTTAACAAATCTTGGTACATCTTTGGTCCAAAGAAGAGGCCTCTATTACGATAAACCTCTGTTCTCCATGATACCTATAGAAAGGAAGGTGACAGAGGGTTCCCCCTCAAAACATTTTTTCCAGATTGTTTTATCACTGTGAAATGTTGTCTTCTCTGCATGGAAGAAGTGGGAGATTATCCCAGTTTTTAAACTGCCTGTCTTGATTCTTAGCAAAAACACAGCAATATTGTTCTGTAAGAGCTTTCTGCCTACCAGTGCTACTGCAGCAGCCTAGAGACGGGAAGTTATCATTGTGGCTGTATGTGCTTTTTCAGGCTCTTTTACTCATATTTACTCATATTTATATTCATGGCTTCTGTCTGGGGACTGGCCAGAAGATCTCTGACTGAACCACTAAGGAAGCTGCTTTTCCCCGCATACAGACACACAGACCTGCCAGGTCTCACACCCTGAATAAGAGAAGATGACTCCTGCCTCATTTTTCCCATCACAGCAACTGTATCTCATGCATTTACATGAGTGTCACAGCCTTTTTTGTACCCCTTGGCTACAATGGCTGGCCAGCAGAGCAAAGACTGGACAATTCGTGGTGGCTTGGAGCAGAGGAGAGGCCATGATTAGGGATATACAGCTCTGCAGGGTGGGAAGGCACCGGCAGCATCTTTCTCTTGTTGCATGAGTGAGCGTGCAACCATCGCCCACACCAGCAGGCAAGCATACCTTCCCAATACAAAATATTCCATATGTACACTGTGCTTACATAGAGGTACTCCTCCTCTCTGGAGTTGACAGCATCCTCCAACCTTTCATTGGTTGTTTTGCCTCTTTAGAAGAAAAATGCAATTCCAATCACACATAATTTGGGTTTACTAAATGAAATTTCACATGAAGATGAGCACATAACATAGGCTGCAAAATCAATTATTAACGGAACTGTTTTAAACTACTGTTATCACTAGCAAGTTTATCTGTTAAAATTAAATCCTTGGGAGATACAGTGCACATAATATTCTGCAGGGCACTGGGCTACTTACTGTAGTAACAAGTATTGACTAGGAATTCTTCAGTGTAAATTGGGAACGTGAAAGTGTTATTGAAAGTAATTTTGCAGTTGTCTTGCGTGATGGATTATAGCATCATTGCTGAAAACTAATTTTACCTCTTACATTGCGAGGATTTCTGTTCTGCCTTTAGCAGCTGGAGCTTTTTAGCTTGTGCTTTAGGGGTCCACTCCTGAAGTCAATATTCGGCAGTCTGCTGACAAAATGACCAGTCCCAGTGTGCTCAATAGGAGCGTGGAGCGAATGACAAGTGGAGTGCAGGTTCAGACAGTTCAAAACATAACTAAAGCAGTTTTTTAAAAGAACAGCAACAAAATTAAGAGCTATCTCTGCTGCTGCATGACATTTCCATGGGCAAAATGCATTAAAGGGGGAATTTCTACTCTTAGATATTAATGGCTACAGTGAAGTAAAGTGGACCCCAAGGAATTTTAAATGCTTATTTTATTCTGTTATCACAGCCCAAAGAATCTGCTGTGAACTAGTTGAAACAAGTATTCTTTCAAACAGGCGTTAGTCAGAAGTGAATATCTCTAAATAGCTATGTGAATATCTCTAAAGAAAAACTCCTTTAATATTCTTCTTTAAGTATGACATTTGAGGGGATAAGCTAGCTTTCTTTCAAAACAGTTATGCTACATTAGCTTTCATTCAGTGCTTGCTTAACATTGGAAAGAATCTAACACTTTAGATTCCCAAAATTCCACATGAAAATTCGGGCTTGTCATTCTCCACCAAAATACTAGCACATGTTCATCTAGGCAGAAGCACTGTAAAATTCTGAATTTCCTCAAATTCAATCTTTAGCTATTTTATAGATAGTGTACGAGTAAATAATGTATTTTAATTTTAAGTGATTATCCTGAAAAAAAGCTTAAGATTCAGATCACTGGAAATAAGAGACTATTAATCTCTCAAGGTTCATGTTTCAGTGCATTCTCTGAAGGACTGAGCTCTTGCAGCTCCTGTCACAAGCAGCAGAAGCTCAGCAGTCTCAAACCAGGCCCCAAGGGACTGACCTCAGGTATTCAAAATGAGTCTCTGTCAGCCTGGGTCTAAGTGACTTGTGAAGGCTGGTAAATGGAGAAACTCTGTTTCAGGCTTAAAAAGCTAAGGACCTCTACTTTCCTTACCCTGGAAATCTAATCTAGTTAGAGCTGTACTTTCCCTCTTTGGATTATCATGATGTGAACTTCAAACTCAAATGAACCTTCCTTCATTCGGTAAATAATATATTCCCTATAGATACTATTGTTTTAAAGAGAACATATGTAGAATTTGCTGCAAAATCAGACCCCACACGCCTATTACAAAACTAGGGATAAAAGAAGAGAATTTCCAACATTTGCTAAGAAAATTGTCAGAGTCAAGGCCTTTATGTAAATGAATATGAAATTTAATAAAAATCTAATTTGTATAGAAGAGTTCAGAAATCACCCTAAGGCACAAGCAGATCAAGATAAACAGAATGTGGGCTGTAGATAGGAATGATGGTGAGAATCTAGTAAAGGCTGAATGGGTTTATTAAAGGAAGTTTATTACTGGCAAGAGATCACACATGGCGATTTTGACTATTTTGAACTACCTACTTGCAATAAATATAATAAGAGACAAGACACTAAAGAGTTGCAGTCTAGTATTAGTGCAAACCCACAAGTTCTGTTTCAGTTCCAGAATAGGAAACATTTATCAAAATGTGAGAAAGGGAAACAGCAGAGCATGGGGAAAATGTTGACAACCAGTATTTCTGTCGTCTTCTCAGGCCATTCTCACGGAGTCATCTGACTTCCCAGGGGAATACAACCCATATACAGACATGACTAAATACTGCTTTTACTTAGCCAAACTCTTTTATTTCATTATTTCATTCACCTCTATCTTCCCATTCTCCCGAAGTGATATTTCCCTTCAGTTTCCCATTAATCACAGCTGATGGATTTTGACACCTAACATAATTCGCTGTCTCTCCTAAATGTATTCTAAGTGAAGGCAGAGGCAATGAACCAGGTTTGGAGCCACTCCACTGCTGGGTGCTGGTGGGGGAGATGGCCACACATTTTGTAGGTCCTCAGTATGCAAATAAGGTAATCTAGCAGTTGATCAGTAAGGCTAAGGAGACCATCTCTGCTGGTTTTGAGAGCACTGACATATATCAGGCTTGCCTGAATGAGCAGCGGGACCGTGCCCCACACTGCTCCCATACTGTTAACATGCCATATTCCACGCCCGGAGTGTTATTGTGTTCCGAGAATAACTCAACACTGTAAATCCACAGACAAAAGCTGCAAGGCCATATAAAAATAACGAATTACATTCTCTATTAAAGCAGTGTGAGGCAACTCCAAAAACCCCACGATTACGTGCACTAATGCCAGCAGTAAATCTGTTTCTGTACCTTCCGTTTGATAAGTAGCACTACTGTTAATAATGTGTGCACTGTTCTGAATACAAGTTAGTCAACTAGAATGTGGCACACACAAAACATTTTTTATACATAACATATATATTTTTTTAATACATATAATCAATATCCTTCATCTGTATAAATCTTTAGTTAGCTTTCCATCTCGTAGCAAACATTTCAGGGCAAATTCTACCTTTAATGATTTTAAATCATTTTAGCCCAGCCAAAGTCAATATTGACGTGACAAAGCAGATTTGGTCCTTAGAGTTTGAAACTATCTATTCTGACTGACTCCATGCCTGTTGGAGCTAACACACCACTCTCCATGGTTCATAAATAATGAACAGGCTGTTCACGTGGGAAAGGGAAGAAATGTGCAACGACTCATTGAAAACAGGCACTGGCTTGAAAAAATGCATTCATTCTCCTCTCATGTAATTCTAGCAAAATTACTGCTGCACTGCAAACAATGTTTTTAATGAATAGGACACAGGTGTATTCAGTCATCTCTAGCTGTTAAAATTTAACAGCATCTTGACTTCAATACTGTAGCAATGATTTTACACTTTTGTCTGGAAACTTTTGGGCTTCAAAAGACTCTGCATCCCAGGCCATAGGACAGTGAAGGCTGACCATGTTAAAAAAGGTGACAGTCAGCCACTACAAGACGCTAATGGTACTTTCCCCTCTACTTGAAGATCCAGCTGTACAGTATGGCAATACCAAAGTGCAAGAACATGGCAGAAGGCTGTATTTCTGACAAACTTATAACCTGGGCCTGTCCTTTCATTTTATAAAATAACAAACACATTTAAAATATGAAATACCTGTAAGGCACTGGTCAATCTGGTGTAAATATTACACTCTCACCTTGACACTTTTAACTGATGCTGTAGCCACTAATATTGCTACCCCAGAAGCCTGTAGCATATTGTCTGCACTATGTCAAAATAAAAAAAAGGTCACATTTGCTTTGCCTGTGTTCTTTTATTTTCTGTTACCCAAAACAGTAGCCTGCAGAGCCTCTTTTTTATCCATTAGATAGTATGAGACAAGTGTTTTGCTCATCTAAGCTTTGTCCTTCAGCTATAATATGTTAAATTCAAGTTAAATTACTCTTCTCTTTTTTTAGTTCTTATACACTTCCTTGATCGTTCATATTTCTTTCCTTGGTTCCATTTACAATCTTTTCCCAATGGCTAAGGAACATTTTATCTTTAAATTTTAAACCCACAAAACGAAAAACAACAACAACAACCACCCACCAAACCCAAAACTGTTTAAACTTACAGTGAATGGTACATGAAAAACAGAGATCCCAACAGAAATGCCTGAATTATTGACATTGACTTAAAAGATGCACTTTCAACATTTCTCTTTCATCTGAGCACTGTCTTCTTTGTACTATCTTCCTTACCTTCCATTAAAATCAATGCTAGTTCCTATTGTGTATTGAAAGAGGAAACACACCTAAACATGCAGCTTGCTTTGCCCACATTTTAGTACTCACTCTGCAAATGAACCGCATTGAACACACTACATGCAAGGGAAAGCATACAAAGAGATTTCACAATGTTACAGCTCATAACCAGCCCAGCTTTCTCCAAGATAGGTGATAGCAGTAGCATATCAGAAGTGAGTATATCCCTGAGTATTCCCCCTATTAGGGAACTCCTGCAGCCTAAGAACTGGCAGGAAAATCTGAGCTCCGGTTTTGACAGCACTGCCAAAAATATTGTAGGGCCAGCATTACACAAGGGAAATAAAGCATAGTATAGAAAATGTGATGAATTTTAAAAAAAGACATAACCATATCTCATTATATTTTGGTACATGTCCAGAGAGTGAATTCTGCTGCAGAGCGATACCTCATTAATTCCCAGAGAGACTTACAATAAAAACAGGGACCCTAGAAAACTGCTCTCCAGCATACTTTTCCACCACAGTTTTAGCATTCTGAGTGAGCTTGCACTGCATCCACCCCACTGTGCACATGAAAGGCCAACAGGCTTCGTTGAGCAGCTTTATTATCATGCATTAACCTTAACTTTCTCCTGTGGTAAAAGGGCAATTAAGTTTTAACACTCTTGGCCTTCCCGAGGCTTTGTTGAGCAAAAATTGTTAATCACTCCAAAATATGGTAAGTCGACGTTCTCTGAAGACTGCTGCATCTAAATCAATAAGTGCAACTTCAAGAAGCTCTTAACTCCAGTTCTTAAACGAGATTCAGAGTTTCACTGTGAATGCTTGTGCTAAACACAGAAGGTGTGCATGGGTATCTAAGAGTAGAACTCAACCTAAGCATAATTAGTGAATTCGTGTTACTTGTTCTTGTCCAAACTGCCAGAGCATTCAGAAATATACATTCATTACACTTCATATTTCTGTAAAACCAATGATGATGTTCTCGAATAAGGTTTGTATGTAAAAAAGGGTGGGATATTTTTTTGTGAAGCTGTTGTTTTATCTCAATTGTTTTCCTCCTTTATTTTCCAGATGATGCATACTTACTACAGGGGCTTAATATTGAGGAACTTTATCCAGAGACCTCTAGTTTCATTACATATGATGGGTCAATGACAATTCCACCCTGCTATGAAACAGCAAGCTGGATAATAATGAACAAACCTGTCTACATAACAAGGATGCAGGTAAAAATAATTAAAAATTACTTGATCTAGTATAGGTACAAAAGAATATTTTAAACATATATATTTGTAGCTTTACATACAAAATCAGATTCAACCTTTTGCTGTAGGGATCTCTGCCTGCAATTTATAGTTTGCAAAAGCATTGAAGACTATTTTGCCAAAATAAAAATATTAACTATTTAGAGCTCCTTAAGTACCTATACCACCGATACGTACTTTGAGGTGGGCCCTACTGGATCCATGGACTGAGGCCAACTGTATGAGATTCAACAAGGCTCAGTGCCGGGTCCTGCACTTGGGTCACAACAACCCCGTACAATGCTACAGGCTTGGGGAAGAGTGGCTGGAAATCTGCCCAGCAGAAAAGGACCTGGGGGGTGTTGGTTGACAGCCAGCAGACTATGAGCCAGCAGTGTGGCCAGGTAACCAAAAAGGCTAGTAACATCCTGGCTTATATCAGAAATAGTGTGGCCAGCAAGACTAGGGCAGTGATCAGTACTAGTGCTCAGCACTGGTGAGGCCACACCTTGAATACTGTGTTGTTTTGGGCCCCTCATTACAAGAAGGACACTGAGGTGCTGGAGCATGTCTAAAAGGCAAACAAAGCTGGTGAAGGGTCTACAGCATGCATCTTCTGAGGAGCAGCTAAGGGAACTGGGGTGGTTTAGCCTGGAGAAAAAGAGGCTCTGGGGAGATCTTATTGCTCTCTGCAACTACCTGAAAGGAGGTTGTAGTGAGGTGGGCGTAGGTCTCTTCTCCCAAGTAACAAGTGATAGGATGAGAGAAACTAGCCCCAAGTCGCACCAGGGGAGGTTTAGATTGGATATTAGGAAAAATTTCTTCACAGAAAGAGTTGTCAAGCATTCGAACAGGCTGCCCAGGGAAGTGCTCGAGTCACCATCCCTGTAGGTATTTAAAAGATGTGTAGATGTGGTGCTTAGGGACATGGTTTAGTGGTGGACTTAGCAGTGCTAGGTTAACAGTTGGACTTCATGATCTTAAAAGTATTTTCCAACCTAAACAATTCTATGATTCTACTTTCAGTGGGGGCTCGAACCAAATGGTTTCCAGTGGTCTTTTCCAAACTAAATTATAACACTATGAATAGAAATATGGTGATTCTAGAACAAATATAGCGGTGTTGTACAAAAATAATTTATATACTTAACCTCAGTTAAGTATAACATAGGCCAGTCTTAGGTCAGAAAGAAACAGACAAATTGTCAGTGACACATGTGGCCATTTAAACACACATCAATAGCACATTAATGTGACACAGATCCAATATATGGGTCCTCCTTGAAAAAAATCAGTTAGTGCTTTCTGGTATAGAATAAGATGACAGGACAGACAATACAAATATCTTCAGAAAAATCAGATTGAAAAATGGAAGCCCCTATTAGAAAGAAGCAGGATAAATTACATAAAAGAAAATGCAATTCATTTCATAGTCAAAATTATGCTGTTGACTAAACACATCAGTGAAAAAGCCATAAAGACTACATTTCTGTATGACTCGCTTACAATCCAAGGCCTAACATGAGAAAACAGCAAATTTAACACCAATTACATTCTTCTCCAGAGCTTCCATCAGTGAGTTGCCTACAGAGCTGTGAGCTGAACTAAAAACTGTTCTCTTGCGTACTAGAATCCCAAAGGAATACTTGAACCACCATCTGCCTGTCCCAAGCATGCAGCAGAGCAATCTGGCCTGAGAAATTAAATGAGGAATGATAAAACAACCCTAAATATTACTTTGGGATTTAAAAATCATATTAATATTGTAAATAAGATGACTTTAAAAAGACTGAGAGATGTTTTATCTTTGTGATATTCCTTCTGTCCAATTTTTCCTAGATACAGAGAAAACACTTTGTTTCTTTTCTAAATGGGTCATTTGTGAGAAGGACACAGCTGAGTGCGGGCAGACATGCTGTTCATTCTGAACTTTTCAAGCAGGACACCTGAACATTTTCCTACAAGCAACATTTTTAGTCACAACATTAATGTACAAAAAAAGGATTAGAATATTTTTGGAGACTATGCTAGTACCTACAGGTTATAATCTCATGATACTTACTCCTTGTCATGCTTTACTGGTTAGTTACATCCTCCACTATTAGTGCTGCAAATTGATTTCATGGAATACTTACTAATTACATTGTGTGCTCAGACTCAAAAAATAATGCACAAGTTTTCCCTGGAAGCTATTAAAGATTTTAAGTATGTAAAACTCAGCTACTGGATTTCCCCATTTAAGCATTAGATGCCACAACCAAACCTCTTAAATCGTACACACTGATGTGGAAAATATTTTCTTTTTATATTTTTAAACCAAAATATTTTGAGAGTTTCTGATTTACAAATTGCAGCTTTTTTTTTTTCCCCCCTCCAGTTTTCCATACAAAATTTGAAAGGTTTTGGTTGACTTGAACCAATTAACATGCTTTTTGCACAGTTGCATAGTCATCATAAGAACCATTGCTGTCTGCTTGTAGTTTGCATCCAACGGCTGCTGGGCACACTGGAAGTCCTGGATGAGTCAGTAATTCCCTGTCTGCTCTGTAAAGCCATCTCAAAAGAAGGCCAGAGTCTACCAGAACACTATAGACACAGCACACAGTATCAAGACAGACCTGTCAATGGAGAAAGGATTTCACTTTTTAACATCATCAATTTCTTTAATTCAGCAGCGTGAATCTCTCAGTTATCCTGCCCATTCTAACTGGCCATATCTTGTTCTTGAGTACCATCATCCAAAACTGTGTCTTCTCAACTGGAAGCTTCGCTCACAGCTACAAACCTTAGGAAATTAGCTCTCATTATTCAACAAGTTCATTTTCTCTGTACCAGCTGCTGCCATCCAGTACTGTGGATTACATTTGTTTCCCGATCAGCAAAGGACATCTCATACCATTTTCATTTACTCCACCAAAACTAGCTACTTTCGTTTAAAATGGTGCTCCGAAACAGAGGACCACAGAAGGAACGGTTTTACCTCAAGTTAGTTTTTCAACCCATCTCTGGCTAAAAATCACTGAAATTCTGTTTAACTTTCATTTATTAAGTAGTCTATTTAATAGTGTTGTATGTTGTTTACTTACATGAAAGACCAGTACTAAAAATCCTTGTTTTGTATTTTGTGTAGATGCATTCTTTACGACTGCTAAGCCAGAATCAGCCATCACAGATATTTCTGAGCATGAGCGACAATTTCAGACCAGTCCAGCCTCTCAACAATCGATGTATCCGAACTAATATCAACTTTAGTTTACAGGGAAAAGATTGTCCAAACAATAGAGCACAGAAACTACAGTATAGAGGTACGTTCTACCTCCAAAATAATCCTTTCTATGCTTACACTGAACTCTTTTCTTTGAGAAACCCAAGTGCATAACAAAGCGTACAAATAAAAACAGATGAAACTCCAGATCTGGGGGACTAATAGTATGAGTCAAACATTACATATTTGAAATGGATGAGGAAACTTGCCCAGAAACATGCAGAAAAAGCATGACAAAAAACAGTTTGGGACATCTAATTTTTTTTTTTTTAAAGTGGATAGGACAGGCCATCAGTTTTCTAGCCTCATTTTAAAGTCTTCTTACCTTAAAAAGTACATTCTGCTCTGTTTTACCCACCTTGGAAAGAAAAAGGGGGATGAGCTAGTCTTGATGACAGCAGATCTCAAACAAAAGAATGGAGGTGCACCACCATAACAAACACCCAAACTGGAAAGTGTTGTATTATGCAATGGATATTAAACAAATGAACCAACCCAGTCACCAGCTGGTAGAGTCTTACATTGCCAGAGCTGGTGGCTCACAACTGAGCTGTAACGTGTCTTATGCATCTTTTAGCCTATGCACACACAGTTGTATTACGTGCAATAATGGTGTAAAAGTGCCTTCTTACCAATAATACTATGGTTATGAAGCAATATTACTGAAGGGTGGAAAAGAAAACACATTTTCAGCAACAAGGCTGATGATTGAGTTGCAATACTTCAAAGAAGGTCATTCAGACTTAATTCTTTTCCAAAAAGGAGGAAACTGAACCTCCTGGCTTTTTCAAGACATTTTAAGTGCCTTATACAGTGTTAAATCCAGCCAGTTTCATATTTGAAGTTTATTAAAGCATAATTGTTTTTGTTTTGTTTCTCTTTCCTTTCAGTAAATGAATGGCTCCTCAAGTAAGTAAGACAGAGCAGGCAGAACCCATAACCTCAGTGGAATGCTACTACTGTGAATTGACATAATCTAGAATGCACCCAGCCTCACTCTCTTTGGGTTCGTGACAGCATGTGCAAACGTGCTGTTGGAAAAGAGCTGCCATGTTGGAAACGCAACTAAAAAATCATTCATATGATCAGTGGTAATTAAAAAAAAAAGTAAAAAGACAGTATTACAGTAAATGTCATTACAATTTTGATACGGTTTTCCTGAACTAATTTAGCTTCACAAAGAAAGACTTTTCAGCCTTTGTACATACGAAATTCTTCCTCTTTTCCCTCCCTCCCTCAAATTAAAAAAAAAAAAAAAAAAAAGAAAAAAGAAAAAAAGAAAAAAGGCGGCTCGGTACAGCATCAAAGTGGATTTGTGTTCTGTGTGCCAAGTAATCCTTGGAAAGCTCTCATTATTTCACTATCATTAATGGATACTGACAAGACAGAACAAGACGACTGTAGAGGAAGCTTACTTCTAGGTTACGATCTTTCTGTTCATTTAATTAAAAAAGGGACAGACTTTGAGAGATAAGTATTGTAAATATATCACTGCAGAATATAAAGGAAATGGAAATATTTCCCTCTGTCACATATCTGTAGTCGGATTTGCCAAAATCAGAATTGATCCATTTTCTGTTTCTTGTTTTACAACAGGTCATACGTTGTGTTGGTTACTATAAACAACTCAATAAATGTGTTTAACAAATTAATTTAGTAAACTTGCTTTGTTTTACTTTTCCTTTCTGAAATAAGCCTCTACTACTTGTGGCTGCATTATTTGTGTTTTTCTTTTTTTTTTTTTTTCTTCATCTATTTGTTCACAGCCAATTTAAGGGAGTTAACGGCCATTGGGAATGCACTTAAAGCTAGTATAACTTTAACTCCACTTTATGGTCCATCATTAATAGGAGCTGGGCTCAGAAGCAGAAAGCAGTTGAAACATATCTCAGTTTAAAATTGCCATTTTCCCTGTTGAATCCATTACTGGGACAAACTCACTCAATCCTGTAAACTGGTGGTGGAAAGGGATATCTTTTCTTTACAGATAAAGCAGGAGCTGGCCAAGTAAAAGAAAATGCCTTTTTTCTTGTTTATAATGGTCATTCACTGTGTTTGGTTACTGTCAAGAACTCAATAAATGTGTTTAACAAGTTCACATAGTGCATGTTTGACCTTCTTGCACATTAAAGGAATTTTTTTTTCCACTGGAGAAGGGGCAGACCTCATGCTATTCTGTTCCTAACACTCACTTTAGAACCCATAATGTTGAATTTCACAGAAAATAAGATGAAGCTAGAAAGTACCATACCTAACCAATGAATTGTTTATACCAAATAGAAAAATAGGCACTACACGAAGTGTGAGGGAACAGAACTACTGTAAAGAAGTTATAGATGTTGTAGGCCAACTAACATTAACATGGCAATCACATTATTTCATCTTTTGCTGATGAGAACAGTGCAGGTAGCAGACAGGAAACTCTTGAGTCTATGTTGCAGACAGCAGTTTGGAAAGATCGCAACTTGCATGACTTCATCCGTGACATGAAAGGGAAAGTTATCAGGAAAGGGAAAACATGCAGGGGCTGGCATTCAGGGAACTTTCAAAGTAGGTACATGGATGTACATGGAAGCTTGTAAGGAACCTGAAGTTGTCAACAATTCAATTGCTCAGTGAAAGGTGCCGAGAAATGACTAGTGAAAGAGCGGAGGTTTGCCTAGATGGGCCGTGACACAGAAATGCCGTAATTGTAGCAGGGTTCTGGGCTGATGACCCTGGCCCAGGATCCTATTAGCACATATATAGTACCTGATCCTTAAGTTATTTCATTTTGAGCATTGCAAATTACTTCCATATACCAGTTTAACACTGTGCAGTGATCTGAAAAATCTACAACACAACCACAGAAATATCACACCGTGACTATTACACTGTAGATTAATATTGTCAAATTCTGCAACTGAAAAAGTAAAATTATCACCACAGATTTACCTAGCTAATAAAAATAAATACACAAGTCACACATTTCATATTTTTGAGTTGCTATAGTGATCTATAACTTTTAAACTTGTGGTGTTGGGATTTTTTCCTCTACTTGTTTGAGTGATTTGGATTTTTTGAAGCTTCTCCTAGGATTGTTATATGCTTCAATCTATATTTTTGGACAAATATCTGTTGGTTGTTGATCCAAGTTTGTCAGTGACAGAAGGTAGGGAAGATAAGCCAGGCCTCCATTATAAAACGTTTAATAAGTAATAAAACATATTTTCTATTTTACTGAAAGCTGATTGAAGGGATTTAAGAGGAGGGAAAAATATGATAGAAGGGACTAGTCCTAGGAAGGAGTCATGCTGTGCTTTGGATTAGATGAGGCTGCAATATAGAAGCCCTGCAAATAGAGAAATGGAGCAACCATACTGGGACACTGCAAAATATTTGTCAACATTTCCAACTCCATTTTGTGAATGAATGAACTCCATCTTGCTGTGATTTGTTTAGGTTTTTGTTTTAATAATAGGGTGCAGTAGAAATAGACCAAACCAAAGCTTAGAATTAAATGTCTTGCACATTCCTCACATTTCAGCAGTGCTCAAACCTAGACATCTAGATCAAATTTTTCAGATCAGGCACATTTCTCTGTGTCAAGAGACACTGGGCATCCAAGGAAAGCCACATCTTATTTTTTTGCTTCAGGTCTTTGTGATAAAGTTTCAGTATCAAACAGCTGTCTCAGAGACAATCTTCCAGCGTTCAGAGTCTACGCAGCATGGCAACACGTGCACATAGCAATCCCTCCAACTTGAGTGCTTTCTGTCCACAATGCTCATGGAGCTCAGTACTCAGCACTTCGTAGTAAGAGCCGTATTTGTGGCCTTGATACCACCCCTGCCCGACCCATTCAGATTATGAGTGAGATTCTTTGCTTGTGATAAGGCTCAGTACAGGCATGAGCTACCTGGCAGGGAATATAAACCTGGCAGCAGTCCTCGATGAACAATCAACACCACAGGCAGGACTAGGTTGCCATGCCATGATGATAACAGACATTAAGAACCTGATACTTGGAGGAAATGCTCAGTTTTGATATTCTGCTATCACAGTTAAGAATGTGATATCAAACCAGGTACCAAACTCATCAAGCTCATTTGGTGATAAAAAGCATGAGGCAATTCAAATTTACAGTACTGTAAACCCCTCTATTTCAAGTAGTATTTAAAAAGGTGTAATACTTAGCCAAATCTTACAAGCTGAGTTTTTTCCTTTAATCATAACTAAAAACTATTTATATACAGAAAATAAGAACTAAATAGGAATCTGTGGGGTGAAGGCAAAAAGCAGAGACATTCAGCATAATTGTACCTATAAATACCATGCATTTCTCTCCTTCCACCATTCTGTTCCAGCCTTGAAAGCTGAACCAGCAAGCAAACATCTCAAGGATCTGCCCAGAACCTTGGGTATTTTATCATAAACCAAACTCCTTTCCCACCATTTAAAACCTCTCACTTTGCTATAAAATATATACTCTGAAAGAAGAGGTGGAGTGGAAAACAGTGCTGAAAAACTGAGACCTGAGATAAAGGCACTGGTCGCCTCCAGCAAGGCTGGCAACAATTACACTTGAAGGTGTGCAAAGCTGTACTCCCCTATACTGATCCAGAAACTCAAACTCAGGCAAGCAACTCAATCAAAAAGGTAAGTTGGCCAGCAAATATCAGAAGAACTTAAAAATGACACAAATACATGGTTTTATGAACAGCACTGCTTGCTCTTGAGCATCCATACACTGTTCTACATCTTGTCCTTAAATGTCAACAGTAACTGCTGCTTGTATGACATTAGCTTATCAAGCACCTGCGACATTGGGGGCCGGGTGGAAGTGGCCTGTCAACAGCTAACATCATTTTAAGTACTTTACATCCAGTGATGTTTCAATCTGTAGGACTTTTCAAAACATTTCTTATAAAACAAAGGAAACTCTTTGGATAATACTTCAGAATCCTTCCTGCTTCTCACAGACCCTGCCTTTACTCTCCTCGTTTCGGTTTTCTGGGGGTTTTACACCTTGCTAGTGCTACACCAGCACTAGCCTTTCCCTTTCAAAATTATAAGCAGCTCTGAGGAATGTAATAAAGGCTTACCCCACAGAATCGCAATACTGCCATAAAAATACAAGAGTTGGCAAATCCCTCAACATTAACTGTTCCTGGGATCAACATATTTCAGCTGCCATTAAAAAATTTAATATGAAAAGAGCTGCTACACCTATTAATTAGCGAAGACAAGCTGGAAAGCAGGATATGACTGCACCCAAAAGGCCAAGACCAGAAAGCAAATAAAACCCCTCCAACATTTAATGTATTCCTCATGGTCATTAATATTAAGAGGAGAGATGTTTAATTTTTTTGTTTTCTTTTTTCAAAGTACTCAGGGTTAACCATCTTGAAATCCCATCACAATCTGAAAATAAAGCTGAAATTTTTTTCAGCCGCTGCTTTCAGGAGCTGAACCTTCCCCAAAAGCCAAGGGAAAACTGTAACTGGCCAGTATATTTCATTGCAAGTACCAGAAATGTGGCAAAAAGGCAGATGTTTTGCATGTTCTGCTGTACATCCCAAAACTTTCGTACTGGACACCGCCCAAAAAATCCCAGGTGTTTGGTTCCTATACTCAAAACACTATAAATTTTTCAGAGATCAGCTATAACTGCTCCATGTTTTGATTATTTTTTTTATTAGATTTTATTCCCTAGATGTAATGGCTGACAAAGCATAGAGAGTTTCCTGTAAGAAATGCTGATTTACTAGCAAATGGTTTACCACGGTTCTCAACAGCATAATGTAAAATTATTCAAGGATCCTGTTTACATGGTAAAGAACAAGAACCATTTATAACGTGAAGAGTAATGCAAGCAAACATTTTCTGTTTCCTACAGTGTCAGGCTTCTATTCTAATAACTAAAGATGTGTCAAACACATTCAGAGCAGAAAATGAAAAACAGGATAATAGATCTTCCAGGGGTGGGAAAATAACCCTTAGTATTTAAATAGAGGAAAAAAAATCCTTAGAAGAAGTATTAGAAAAATAGAAAGAAAAAAAAAATTCTACACAGTTTATCAATTTAGGCAGATGCTCCTGCCCTGTTAGGGAAGAAAGAGCTAGAATCAAAAGTAAATCCAAGTGGAACAAAGTTACAGCTGCAAAATATTATAGTTGCCCCAGAACAAAGGTTAAGGCT